CCCAACAAGAAAGATAGCTGCTACACAGGTAAATGCTGGAATTTAAATCTAGTGGGCACATTACCAAGTCCATGGAAGTATTTAATTTCCAAAATTCTCATTGATTTAACAGATTTCATTAATCTCCTCTCTTCATCTTACAGTTTATATGTTATTTTCCGTTCCTTCTTCAGTCTTTCCCAGAAACTACTAACATGCAACAGGACAAAGTTAAGACTGTGACAAGAATGTGGCATTTGCCATGACTTCGAGATCTTTGAGAACTGGAAAGTATGATGTACGCAAACTTGACATACTGCAGCTTCACAATAATGAAGAGTTTTGCCTAGCTGTTTTAACTACTTGTCTTTATTTTTCCAGAAGTCAGTTTCTAAATGTAGGATATTTTTGGAATGAGCAGAGGGAGGAATAAGACTGACCCCAGTGTGAACAATTTTATTCTTCCAATATTTCCAAACTGATAATCTTGAATAATAAGGAGTTGGTGCTGCGATTCTGCAACTGCTTAAGGTGATCAGAGGTGACACTGCTGAAGCGCTCCCTCTTCACGTGTTGGCTCTGGCCTCTGTCTGATCCAGGGTGAGCTAGATCAGGGAGAGACTGCTGGGAAACCCATCCCTCTTTTGTTCCATTTTCTGAATGGATTCACAGGGGGATCACATAGGTGAGGGAAGGAGCCTGGTGACTCCAACCTAAAATGGCTTAAAAAGTCACAGAACCTCACCCGCTGAGCTGCCGATCGCTGAAAGCTGCCTTCGCTTATTAAAAAGTAGCAAGGAGAAGGAGAAGCTAATGGTGTGATAGGCTTGAGAAATTAGAGTAATACAAGGATAGAATAATACAGCAATGCACATGCTGCTGTCTGTGACTGGATTTCCTGGTAACGCTTCCTTTATGAAGAATATTGTGTATTGGACTCATATGGTAAATTTCAGGATAGTAAATTTATACTTAAAACAAGTAATAAAATAATTTATTGCAGTTACAGACAATAACAGGAAAATAACACAAGCCTGTGTAAATCAAAGAATACACTTAAAAACTTGTCTATGGGGCTGACATCAGTGAGCAGGTGGGGGGGGGTTCTCAGCCCTTCCCCAACCCTAAGAAGGGACACGTGGAGAAAAAACTGCATGGAAAACAGCAAACTTTTGTAAAAATGAGGATTGTCAAAAAAAAAACCCCAGCAGTTTCAAATCTTACTAACAACAGAAGCAGTCACTTTATAGCAGTCTGTCAGCTTTATAGCGTCTGTGAGTAGTGACCCATGTTGCAGCTTTTGTGGCTGGTACCTCTGGTATCTGTAGCAGGAGAATCACAGACTGATAGGGCCACAGATGCTCAAGTTGTCCTTTGCTGCAGGAGTTACTTTGGGAGGACATCTTGGGAACAGTTTGTACTGCTATAACTATGCTTTATTCCATCTGTGGGTTGATGGATTTCAGTCTGTGAAAGAACTAACCCAGCACTTTATCTGCATATATTTGTTTTAAAATAAACTGTAGAAAGAAAAAATAAACTGTAATTGATTGTTTCATATGATTATTTCCTGAAGTGAAGTTGAGATTTAAAGGTGTACTTCTGTCATTTACTATGCTACTTCTTCCTAAATTCTTTATTACAGGGGGGGGAAAGTAGTAAGTGCAGTATCTTTTGTTTGTTTTCAGTTGGGCCCAAAGGACGTGTTATAAGTTATGAAATCAGAGATGATCATCATAATTTAGCTAAGAAGAATTACAGGCACTGGCGTGCTGCATGGGAAATAGGACATATGGAAGAGTGGCCAGATAACGTGGATTTCATTCTTAAAGACATTTCAACAGCTGCTGCGGATATGAAATCTGTAACACTTGACGCAGTAAGTCAAAAAAATGCCCCCATTTGACATTTATCTTTTCTGCATAAATTAAAACCTCTAGTGCTCACACTCACAGTGGGATTCCCGTATCTAGTTTAACATGAGAAAAAACAACCAGATCCTCATCAGTGAAAGAAACATTGTGATTTTTTTTGTCGGATTACAAGTATTTTCAAGGTTTCAGTTACAGTTTCCCAAATGAAAGAGATATGGCTGTAGTACAGAAATACTACAATTAATCACTGCTGTCTTGTAAGCAAAGACAAACTTACTTTCTTGTATTTTGGAGAAACGGATATTTTTGTATCTAAGGCATATATTTCAAACATTAAATTTAAAAAAAATACATAAGCTTATTGAAAATACAAATATGTCAACGCTTAGCTATCAGCTATACAGAACGCACAATGTAACTAAGGCCTAAGTTAGACTAAGGAACGCTCTTGCTTGCTCTCCTGTCCTGCTTTTTAGATCCAGATTTTGTAAAGGGAGACGTGCGGGGGAGAACAGCTAGATGTTAACCACTCTTCCGTGTAAAGCAGACAAACTACTTACATTAATGCTTTAAACAAATTACAACTGTGTTAAACGGTTTGAGCAAAGAAATAAAATATATAGCATAAAAATACAATTTTTAAAACTTTAAATGTAACAGTCCACAGGAAGGATCAGAGATTGCATATCCCATTGTTTTACAGTTTGAATAGTTTTCTAGCAGAAGATGGATAAATTACTAAAGACAGAACTTTTATAAATCTTGAAACAAACAGCAAGGTAGACATTGAGACTGTAGCGTGATCTTTTCATGATAAAGATGCACTTGAACATTTATTTTTTTTACATTTGAAAACTAGATATCCAAAGGTGTTAGTAAATGTAATCTTCTAAAAGTTTTTATTAATGTCAACATTATGGAATTTAATTAGTGTGAGGTTTAACGTTAACACAGAACTACTGCGTTGGTGAAATGCTACTTGCTCTTTTAATAGAAATTCATTTGGAAGTGGCAAGGACTTTGTTTTGTAAATGTGTGGACCTCAGGTTTCTTTAGGTTTTGAGAGGCAGTAATAAAACTGTCTGTGATTAAATACAGCTGTTGTATGCATTCATTTGTTTTCTCAAGCATTGTTATGGAAAAAAAAATTATAGATATATGTTAATATTTACTGGGAAAACATGTATCTTTCTCTTGCAGATAGTTCTGGATATGCTTAACCCTCAGTTGGCTCTGCCTGTTGTACACCCAAGTCTGAAACAGGGTGGTGTGTGCACTGTGTATTTAGCAAAGTGAGTATTTACTTCTGGCGCTTGCACATTTATTCAGGCATCACCTAACATTGTTACAAAACCAAACATCTTTCAAAATATTCATCCAGCGTTAATGAAATGTTTAACAAATTATTTTTTTTTTCCCCCCCATGTAATTTTTTTTTAGGGAGTTGTACTCAGCATAAATTACACTTGGCTGAATCTTTTGGCCTTTACTTTGGGAACTGTAATTATGGTCAGTGGAAGTTTGCACTTAATGACATCCTCAAATAACTGTACTCTTTTCCAATTCAGTAGTCAGGTTGCTAGTTCCTTTACCCTAAAATTGAAGGACTTGTGTAACCTCAGGTAAAGAATGTGACAAAGGCAGCAGAATTGAGACTAACGGTGTATGATTTGAGTTTTCGAAATACTATTTATTCTTTGCATTTCTTCAAAAGCATCACACAGGTTATTGACCTTTTAGAGAGAATACGGACCTGCAAGCTCCCGTTTTTGTGTGAAAAGATCATTGAGGTAACTCATAGAAATTGGTTGGTACTCCCTGCTAAAATCAAGAATTGCAAATCAAGCAAAACGGTGGAAACTCAAGAAAATATTGAAGAACCACCTCAAAAGGAACACGAAGAAATCCAAATTCAGGATCAAGTAGTTCTTAAAGAAAGTGAATACAATGGTAAGAACATTATTGCTGATGAGATATCCTGTAACTGCAATTTGATAATCCAAGGATATAATGAAGGCAAAGTTTGTAGGAAGAGGCAGTATTTTTTTTCTTAGGTCAGCTGAGATTGTTGTGAAGAACAGACAAGCTTCTGGACAGCCTAGACCTTGTCAGGTTTGAAAAAGGATATGTTAATAGTTATTTAAATATCTCATTAAAAATCTAGACTAAATAGAAAATAAATTGTAGTCTGCAAATAAAGAACGACTGCCCTCCTACTAGTGTTTTCAAATTTTTATTTTTTAATAAAATTCAGTCCTCTATACTTGTCCTGTTGCTGCTTTAGAGGACCCTGATGGGCTTAAGGATTCCACAGAAGAATCAGTTACCAGTGTGCTCTGTTTTGTAATCCTGCTGTTCTGGCAAATCCAAAAAAGATGCCTCATACTAGTACAGATTTGAAAAATCCATAGTAGAGCAAAGAGGTCTGAATGTAATGATAGGTGACAACTAGGCACTTTAACAGAAGCAAAAAGAAAATCAAAATATGTCAAGGAAAAATAATCCATGCGTATTGGCAACTCTAGTCTGCGTGTGTGTTTTAAACTTGTTGGAAAGAATTAAAAAAATTTATTTCTCACAGAATCACTTTCTGACAACGCTGAAACATCCTGCTTGGTGCCTTACGTTGCTAGACCATCGTATTGGCAGGATGCTCATTCAGGTGAGACACTTGGAAAATATTTTTTTATCTTAAATGTTTAGTGGTATTTTATTTTCAAAAATACTATTTTTTTTGTACTAGCATTTGACATGTTACTATATCATGAAATCATGAAGCTTATAATAATAAACTAATCATTGTATATTGAAATACTGAAGTAGTAACTTGTTTTGTTTTTCAATTAGCATTCCTTACCAAGCTGAGAAAGTTTCGACCACTGCTTTCTTGATGCTGCTCAGATGTTAGCTGCTAATTTGAGTATTGTATCAGAATAAAATAAAATTTTACAAAGTAGCTGCTACATTTTGCAAGTTGTGTAACTTTTAAGTAATGACTGCTTTGATTTCTACTGCATATGAAGTTGGAAATCCCACCTACTATTTAAAGGGAAAAGTTTTTACAGACTCAGCAGGTATGGTGTTGCTGTGTTCAACACAGATTGTTCCGCAATGCAATGTATCTGTTTCTGTCTCATCTGGTGTATTTCATTCTTCGTTGCTTGTAAACCAATCCATGGATTTGTCTTGGTTCAAGGTGCTACCTCGTCTCCTTTTGCTGGACAGGCTCTGACAGTCTGCCAGAAATAAGGAGAAAAAAAATTTAGTAAGAAAATAATGGATCAAAGTCTGCCCTTTGAAATGCAAGTGAAGCAGCTTCTGACTTCATTGGCTGCCAACTGGTGGCTATCAGTTTCTTTAAGAACAATGTTCTTAAAGCACAACTGTAAGAGAAACTGAAATTCACTGAATTTGGTCTCTTGCTAAAGCTGTGCTTATTTCAAGAAAAAGACTGGTTGTTGACATGTATAGCTTTGGTTCGCTTCCACCAGCCATGCTGAAAGTTGCCTGGTTATTTGTGAACTTAATATAAAGCATTCTCAAATGATCAAAATAAACACAATTTTTTTGACCTTGTCAGATATGAAAAGCAAGATCTCTTAGGTAAATACAGATTTAAAATTAAGTCTTTTAGGGTCTCACATAAGTCTCCACATAAGCACGTGGTGATGTTTAACACATTAGATTTATTAAATCCACCCGTTGTGGCCACCTGACTTGTTCTGTATCTCAAGGAAGATTCAAATGCCAAATTTATCAAAGTTGAGGGATCCCTTGAGAATCACAGTTGTACTGAAGCTGTCAAAAGCAGTAACATAATCCTACTACAATAGTGAAAATTTGGGTATTAGTGAGAACATATGCAAATAAAAAATAGAGCTATAAATAACTGTAACCCTGTATTAAATAAGTATACTAAGAACTCTGCGGTGGTTAAGCACAGGAAAGTATCTTTGCAGAACTGAGGCCTTATACAGTTCCCCCAGGAAGTTTACATCTCAAGTGTGTTCCACTCTTAATAATAAATTAACGAGCGTTTGCCCTATGACTGCTGTATGTAATGGAGGCTTCTCATACAAAGGCTCAGGACGCTATTTTGAGTAGATTAATGTGCAAAGATTCAATTACATGAAACAATTTTCACAATAAACTCTGGTATTGTTTTCTACTTGTACCCTAATCTTAAAAAGAAATCTTGTATAAACTCTGTCAACAATTGAGATACATTTAAAGGAAAATGTGAATTGTGATTTAACATACATCCAAACTGATGACAGCAACTGAGAGCCTGCCCTCTCTAAAAACAGTGCTCTCAACAAGAGCACTTTAACTCACGTAACACATGCTCTTTTAACTCACATGACACACACCAGTATTTTTACTGTTTCGTATAGCCAATCCTAACTGTTTGAAATAGGATTCTCAATTTAATTTATAATGCAAGAATAGTAATAAATGCCTAAATAGACTGGAACACAACCCAAAATCTACCATAGTAGATGAAGGTAATTTGAAAAGACTCAGAATATAAAGCAGTTGGTACTTCCAGGAAGTCAAGAGACAGGATGTGAAAACGAAACTATGGCAGTAAAAGCACAGTTCTGCCAAGGTAACTGCAGTTGTAATAGGGATTTTTGCTAACAGAGATCACGTCTTGTCATACCAGGAAGGACACAGTAGTCCCTACAGTAGTCTGAAGGGCAAATACCACCTCAGTTGCCTAAACTAATTGAAAGTTATTTGCAATATTAAATCATACCTTGGCCATAATAAAAAGGAGAATCAGTGAGCATTTTTTCAGTTGGAAAGGTGTCCTTCGAATTCTGGGATGAAGGCAATTCCATCATCTCCAAAGTTGCAGTAGATGAGGAGGAAGATGATGATAATCCTAGTCGTACAAATCTTCCTTTCTTACCACAAAGCAAGCAGTCTGTAGGAGTAGCACTAGGTCCTCGGGGCAGCTGTACTTCATCACCGTCGTAGTTTCTTACAGCTCCACTGTGGTGCATAGAACGTTCTCGCTGCCATACGTAATGTGTTGGAGCAATAGCCATCACCTATCGGAACAGCCATTACATCAGAAACCGTAAAAATGATGGGAAAACATACAGCAGAAAACAAGGGATCCAATTCATGTATGGCAGAGAATTAATACTACATAGCTGAAATGGGTATCATCTATTATCTATCTGCTTCTGTCTCACGAGAAAGTTTGCTGCCTTAAGCAGGAGTCAGTGAACCAGTTATGAATCAGATGTGGAAACACAACAGTTTACAGCCTTGTATATTCACGTGAATCATCACAAATACCAGCTTATGCTTTGTATGTTGGGCCGAAGGTGGTGTCTTTTACTAACTACTAAACGTAAACTAGATGGATCTTCTGGTTCACAACGTCACTGAACTAATGACCATTGGAAGCTGGGAGGGTGTGCTGGGAAAAGCGTTCTACACTTGCCTTGTTCCTTGTACTTTTCCCATAAGCATCTAATCCCATCCCCAGAGATGGGATTCTAGAGTAAATGAGATTTTCTTTTCCACCAGCTGTAGTAAACATTACGTTCTTAGAACATGACAGGGTTTTTCCAGACAGGTACAGTCCACCTGAAAAGTAAGGAATGTCTTTTTTCCCTTCCTAGTATGTTTGAAAAATGCAGGTTGTAACACTGCATTAATAGTAGAGAATGTTAAAAGTGTGTCCTTCTAAGTTTTTTTTAAATGCAGTGAAAAACCCTTACCTTAAAAAGTCAATTGAAGTTATATTATTGATTTTGAAGGGATTAAAATTCCACCTGAGGTGCTGCGATTTTTATTTTAATGTTTTACTTGTGTACAGACTTATAATTTGTAAAGCAAACACACACACACAAAATTATTTCTAACGTGAATGAAGTGAAACAACCAATGGTAAATTTTAAATAAAAATATTTGCATAAAGCAGAAAGATTCTGGTCAATAAAAACTTCACTTTTAGCAATAGTGTAAATGTAAAATATTCTAGTTTACCTTAAAAGCACTGTTTCAAAGAATGTATTTTAAATGTAGAAGAAAAAAAATTCATGGAGGACAAATGCACCATTACCTTTTAGCTGCATCTTTTCTTTCCCATGGCTTGCCTACGCACTTTAGGGAAGAAATTATTTGTATAGAACTAGATTGTTAGCTGGTGTTAATGGTTGTAGTTTCAGCATCTACAATATTAAAACCCTCCCTACCTCTTCACAGCAGCGTCTGCTTACAATAGCCCTGTAGTCAATTCTACTCCATAGTTGATCTCTTAACTTTAAGAAATCAGGGAAGAGTTTTCTCCAGGCTTTTCCCAAAGCCCATGGGAAAATGTCATACTTTGATTCTTCATCGTCTTCCTCAACAGTATTTGCCAGATACCTTCAAACATATATATGTTTGTATCTGTAAATGTTGTTCAATCTTAAATCACTGTATTAGTATGATTTCTAACATTAAAAGACATAATATTGAAATAGTTCTTTTTCCTGATATTGTGAGAAAAACTGCTAACAAAATACAGCCTTCTCAGGAGTACAGTATTTTCTTAATCAGAAAGTTCCATGTGTATCCTTTGGGTAAATAAAAATGTAAGCTATTGTAAAAAATCCTTTACCCTAAAGTCTCCTAAATGAGTAGATATGCAAGAACTAAGATATCCTGACAGCTTTCTCCAAACTGGCAAGATAGCCTTGCACTAAAATGAACAGTTTCTGACTGATTCTCTAAGTAAAGCTTAAAACTATCTCATAAAATTTTGAACTGTACATTTTCTACTTCATGCATTTTAGCTATTCTTGGAAAATTATGTTGCTCACATTAAATTAGCAGCAAACAACTAAATACAGGTCTACCTTCATGTATAAATGAAAACCTTAAATGACTTTTTTAATGTCCATATTTCCCCCTTCCTTCACTATGTGCTACTTTTGGTTCTGCGTCGTCTTCTCAGACAACAGGCAAATACTTATTTTCTCTGGATTCACCTGATACCAAACTCCTGTTAATCCTGAAAAAATTATGACTTTTAGTCTCGTCCCCAATTTTTTTAACCCCAATATTCCCTCTAGTCCCAGTCTCACCAGACCCCTTGTCCCTTTCTAATCCTCTCACTCTTCTGGCCTGGCTTTTCTCCCTTCAGTGGAGTCAGACGGCTTCCTCCTCCATGCTCAGTGGATGCTATCCAGAATACCATTTACAGCAGAGGAAACAGCCGTTTTTCTCCCTGCACTAGTGTGCAAATCAGAGCATCCGAGAAGCACTATTACAGAAAAAGATGACCTAAGCACCATAATGCTATGAAAGAAAATGCTGAATCACTCTGCAGGTATTGCCAAATACGGAGAGATTATATAGGCTTGGTAAAGACAGATTACTCATTGCACCTCTGTTTCAAAGTATAGAAATTTTAGAACTGTGCAGAAAAGTTCTCAGAAATTCTCTAGCAACATTTTTACAGTTGACTTAAATCATCTTGACAGAAACTTTAATAAAAAGTTACTCCCGAGGTGCATATCATGATGAAACGTTTCAGTACAAATGACTTAAAGGCTGGCAAAGATATAAAATAGGGTCTTATAACAGGAAGTGTGAGCCATGTATGTGTTGCCATGTATTGTCCTGCGTAAATTTCTTGTAATGCTTAAAAAAGTTCACAGATTGACAGTTTGGTAGGCAGAATGCCACGCTATGTATCAGAACACCAACGCAAACGTCCCCTCACTGCTGCTCAAGCTTGTTCCACACAGGTGGTCATCAGAGGAAGAACGTTGAATTTGCACTATTTATGTATAGCATGTAGATTACGTTTCTATACTTCATATAGAACCAAAACAACCACACACTCATTAAAGAAGTCTCATTGTATATCATAATTATCAGTGGCATAAACAAAGAAATAAAATAATGCAAAGTTTATCCTAATAAAACCAGATAATTGAAAAGTACTTACAGAGCGACAAAGAAATTGATTCTGGTATGCTCATTTATTGTGAAGTTAGCCCTCTTGAAATAAACGAAAGTCATTGCCAAGAGATACTGTTTTAAAATGTAAAATGTTACATTCATTATTAAGTACCAATATATTATTTCAGCACATCATTTCCTAAAACGCTTCGCACATTTATCTTGCACCAAGATATTTTGGTCATTTCTATCAATGAGGAAAGCATAAATTGAGTTTCTTGAAGCTTCCATATGAACACATTAGAAGAAAATTATGGTCTATATTTGCATTACAGTATCAAGTGATTAAGAGCAGATTTTTCACTCAATAAATGTTCTATTAACTAAGAGGGAAATACACTTACCTTGTCTGCAATTTTACAGCAACAGTCCATCCAAAGGAAGTCTTGGATTAGATCATCATCTGCAACAAAAGAAATTGTAGCATTTCAAACCCAAAATTGTTTTTGTTAGAAAGTATTTGTAAATAAATAACAGGTGGTCCTTTTAATTAAACCAAATAAAAAGAAAGAAGCTGAACTGGCAGTAGAGAACAGAGAAACTGAAGGGAGAAAGAGATAAGATATGAAAAAGCTTAAGTGACAAAAGATGACAAACTACCAGAAAGGCAAGGTGGAAAAACCAGTGACTATATTTCATTCTCAGTAATAGCAAGTGAAGGTGAAAAATCACCAGTATTTTTTCTATTTGTGTAACTTCTTCCTGCGCTAAGTGGTTCCATTTAATAGCATACCGTTATTTCTGATGAACCATAGACTGTTGAGGTCTCTGCTCCCTGATTACCTGACAGCCTTTATAAGGCAATACTTGCCTGCTTATTTGTGGTCAGTGCATCACTGTCTGTGAACATGTACTATAATAGTATTACAGCAAACTCTCTCTGATTCACTCCTGTATTCAAGGTTCAAATAACAACCAAGTGCAGTCTTCCACTATTACTTAATCTCTTTGCTAAATTAAATAAATACAAAACTTTGTGTGAGACACAAATGCGAAAGAGATGCTACCATTCCTCAGATTTTCTTCCCATTCCACTTCTCCCCCTAAATGTTCATTCCCACAATAAATAACATGTTTATAAGACTGGGAGTCCAGCCTTTTTTAAGCCTTGTGTAAAACAAGGTGTACATTGTTTTACATGTACTTGTTGAAATATAAGAGAAAATAGAAAGGAAAGGGAAATGATCATAAAAGGAAGTATTATACCACCTTGGTTTAATTTGTAATTTAAAAAGATACTTTTCATCAGTTTGGAAGCACTTCTTGTATTTTTAACTTAGGCATTAAATATTTATGCACTAAAATATAACAACAAAATACATTTAGACAAAGACATGGCCATGAGTATCTATATAAAAAGCACTCCCAAAATTACTGAGTTTAGAAAACATACTTGCTTCATAGTTTTCTACTGGTCAGTCAATACATTGATATCTATTGTTATTAACCTACCAAATAGTTTAAAGAAAGCTGTCATTTCCTGACGCTGAATAACTAGACGTGGTCCCTTTGGACATCTATATTTATGACTAGGAACCTTTTTTTCACAATTTTCTTCATGGTCTTTAAAAGTAGGCCGCTTTAGTCTAATAAGGTTTTTTTGCTGATGTGATCTGGATGCACTCGATTTTACATGAACAGTGACAGTGGGAGGCGTCTGACATACCAGATTGTGTCTCATTTTGGTAAGTAAAGGTTCCTGTTAAAAAAGAAGAAGAAATTAACTACAAAAATAGTCAGCTTCAGCAATCGTTCTCTGTATTTTTGTTCAAATGAAGCGTTTCAGTAGAGCTTGTACGTCAGGTGATACAAAAATTAATTGTATCAGTACTAATTATCAAAGTCTTGTGCCCTAAGCCAACTATGTAGATTTCTTTAGTTTAGTTCTAATTTGGTAAAGCTTTCAGTGGAAGGAGCCTTCAATCTTTCTTTTTCCATTTAAAATTTTGAAAAATTGAAAAAAGTCCTTTCCAGAAAAAGTTGCCGTCAGACCCTCATAGCCCTACACACTTAGATCTACCAAAAAATCTCCATTCCTCCCCTCCAATTTGTGATTGTGTATTTTTAAAACAACATTAATAGAATTAATGCAACAGAACCATAATTGAGCCATGTAACATTAAAATTGAAGTCTTGAGCTCTTGATTTTTATAACATTTGGTTATAGCCATTGGGAATAAAAACTTATCCCTCATGTAGGACATACGCTGAAGGGATAACCAACGAGACTAACCTGAGGTGTTTGTAAATGTAAAAATCAAGAAGATACCAAATGTAGTGTGAGGAAAGGTATATTTAGACAGGAGCAAACGCATTTACTCCTTCAGTAGGTCCCTCCACAGAGCAGAGAGCTGCCCGAAGCCAGCTCACAGCAGCCCACCTGGCTCTCCAGCTCCTAGTTAGCTGCCACATTAAAAAAAAAAACCCTAAACAAAAAAAGCCAAACAAAACCCCAAAGCCCGTCACGTGTGGATGTGATTACGCTCTTTCGGTTCCCAGCAGACAGCGCTGCGCCCGCGGCT